TGTGTGTGTGTGTAGACATAACACACCAAGAGAACACTAGTCTTCCATCCTGAAATTAAAAAAAGGGAGTAAAGCAGAAGGTGCAAGGAGTTGAGTTGACTACGTGGAATGACAAAGAGACATTAGTCCTCATGACTGAAAGCATCTGAAGGGAGAACTGTGCTATTCGCTCACCAAAACCAACCAAATTCTCCCTTTATGCTTTCAGTGCAACATAGGAAAAGGTGAGCGAGAATAGGATTGGCTGCTATAGAGCTGTTCCCATCAGACCCTTTTGATCAAGAGGCACTTTGTATTCTGCCTACAAAATTAAAGGCATGGAATGATTACAGTTCTGTATCTCCACACATGATGTCTTAGTTCCAGATGTTGGTCTAGTCGCTGCCCGTGTCAGCCTCTGCTGGACCCCTGATCAGCCTCCTTATACCTCTCTTCCCTGCTGGGCCCTTGGGCTTTGCAAAGTTTTGCTTGTGTGCATGTTGCTTCGGGTGTACTTCATCGTAAAGGAAATCTGAAGTCAGTTCATCCCCATTGTCTATCTCAATCTGTGCAAACGTAAATGAAAATATTGAAGAGTTCTGGGTATATCATTGTTTACATGCAATACAAACGATCGATAACGATATATGAAGATCAAATGGTATCACTGAAACATACATCTGCCACACTGCTAGTGGGTGACACATATAGCCAACAAAGATTCCACACTACAGCATGATTCTACTTCTTAGGCTGGGCACACACCTTACAACCATCGCAAGACTTTTGTCTTGCGATGGTTGTAAGGTACTTAAAAAAACGTACGATCTGCCTATCTTGCATAGGCAGATCGTACTTGCGATGATCGCAAGCCACGCCCCATGAGGGGCGGGCTTCCGATGACCGCAATGCCGAACGGACAGTGTGCGCTTGCGCACCCCGGCCCGTGCGGTTGTTATCGTACGGACATGCCACAAACCCGCCGAACATCGTACGATGCTCGGCGGGTTTTCGAACATGTCCGTAAGTTTAAAGTCGTGCGACCTTACAGTAGTAGAGGTCGCACGGCTTCCACACACCTTACGATAATGGTACGATTGCGGGATTTCGCGGGATTATCGTACGAATATCGTAAGGTGTGTGGGGACCTTTAGCAAAACAGCTATGGGTTGTAGACTCCATACCATTATTAGTACCATTTCCTCTGCACATGTGTACCAAGATTACAATAGAAAAATGCTGTGGATAAAGCATGCCCCTTTGTAATAGAACTACAAATACTACTACTAATACTACGACTGGTTTTTAAAACTGGAGAGGAAAAGAAAAAAAGGACATGAACATGCAGATGTGTAATGAAAGGTGTCCCCTGAGCACTGGCCCCGATATCCTGTTTTAGGGTGGCTCCTTTCCCTTGCAGGGTCCTATGGAGCCTCCCTTGTATGTGCTAGTAAGCTGTGCGTGTCTCCACAAACAAGGAAGGCCACTCCTTAATACTGCTTACCCCCACCTTCTCCAAGCTAGGAGTTGAACAGTCGCTGGAGTCAGTGCTCTCTCATGATCTTTCATTAAAGAAAAGTACTCCAGGCAGAAGAAAACCTAACCTATGCAGTGGGGCTACCCCTACACTGCAAGGGTTACGTGCTTGTTTTGGTCTAGGGTGTAAAGTAAAAAAAGATATACTCACCTGAACCTCTGTCCCATGTGGCTGCTAGACCAGTCCCTGGGGCTACTCTCCCTCTCCGCTCCAGTGGTGCAACATCCTTTGAGGTCCTAACATCTAATACACTTAGCAAGATGGCTCACGGATCCTTAGACTGTCGGAGCGGGAGAGAGGTTGCGGGGACCAGTCAAGCAGCCAAGCAGGTGAGTGTATTTTTTGTATTTTACACCCAAACCAAAAACGAGTAGTTAAGCCTTGCAGTACGGGGCTAGCCCCACCGCAAGGGTTACGTTTTCTGTCCGGAGTTGTTCTTTAACAGGAAGTTCAGGAAAATGAAGCTGAGAGTTGGAGCCAGCTGTTTGGAAACATGATGACTAAGTATTTGGGCAAAATGTAAAGAAATACTTTGCTGGGCAAAGTATATTTGTTTGGTCTGGATTCATTATCGAAAAATACTCCTTTAATTTATTCTTATATATACAGTTAGGTTTATAAAAAAACCAAAAAAAAAAAAAAAAAAAAAAAAAAAAAACACACTTTCAATAAATAATATCTTTCAAGATAAAAAAATTACCCTTTTGACAACTTCCATCATCAGCCGGTTTTCAATAACATCTAACAGAGGGTTCTTACAGCTGGAATATAACATACGCTCGCGGATACTGCATGCATAGCCAGGCATTGAATAAATAAACACTGAAAAACAAAATACACATAAATGTTCTTATTAGAATCACAGAAGTGATTACAGTTCAGTTTAAAGTGATCTGATTTAGTTTGAATAAAGTGTCAGGTTAACTTTGCGGTCTCTGTCTCCTTTTAGAGAGATTCCCCCTCTCCACCTGCCCTGATTATCATTGTCGTGTAAATAAAAACTGATGGGAAATTGCCGTGACACCTGTTCTGGTGAAACTGTCTAGAATGGGATTAAGCTGGCTAAACACTAAGCCAATATTGGCTGGTTCTCGATGAGCTGGCTGCAATTCGCTCAGTGGGTGGCCATGTCCCCTGCCTTCCACCAAACATTGTTGGACGAACACTGCCTACATCCCTTAAGGTATTTTGACAGTCAGCCAGTTAACAGTCGGCCTGCTATCATAACTGCAGCAGCAGATTCCTCCATCCACACGGTTTAGGAGGAATCTATTTTTTTTTTTTTTTATTCAGCCTGAAACCTGACCTGGCTTACTAATGTATTCCCAGCTTTAAGATGCCCATATACTGGTCACATTTTGGCAAGTTTTTAATGTACCGGCTGAAATTCGCATTGTGTGTGTCCCCTTGCAGCCTGCATTCCTCGATCAGCTGATCGAAAATTTGCCAGCCTGTTCCTTCGATCAGAGCTGGCAGCTGATCGGGTATGCTAATAAAATATAGAATAAAATGTAAACAGCGGGATTCCTTGATCGACACACTGTTTGTGTTCATGGAAAAAAAGCATCATTTGTTTTCCTCCAGCCCACAGGGTGAACAAAAAAAAATTGATAGGTGTATGGCCAGCCTTACTCTTCAGTTTACAGAGATTTCCGTTCACTTCCTCTTATATCTCTGTCCCAGGAAATGAAGGGACATTTCCAGAATCAGACATAGACACCAAAAAATACAAGACATGGGTTGTTAACCATTCCCTACTCTTCCACACTTATCAATGAAAGTCTTGACAAAAGGCAAAGTCTGACAGCAACAGAACAGGAGAACTACAGGTAAGTTTTCCCATCCAAAACTTTCAATCATGCAGCCCACCTAATTCAGTAATGATAAATGAAGACGCTTAACGCAGTACCTATAGAATTTAAATAATCTCCTTCATGGGAATGCTTGTACAGGAAAAAGTGATAGCGAGCAGCATCCTTTGGAACTCTTGAGGGTAAGTCCTTCACGTCTGTGTGTGCCGTGTTTGCCAGAACAATGAGTTCATTTTGTATATCTACTTTCTGTAGACAATGAATAAAATGGTTAATGAAAACAGCTAATGGCATACAATGCGTAATGTGCATAGAACACATTTGCATACAAGTGTTTAATTTACTCACACATGCAAAGTAATGTCTTTAGCAGGGGCATCACAAACTGCATTCACACACCCTTTACTTTGGCATTATGTGGCTACTCAAGCATACAAGTACATAATTCACATTTGTGCAAACCTTTTTCAGTGCAATACAATATGGTAAGCCATTAATGCTACTCATAATCTGAAATGCAAAATGCCCTATTAAAGTGGACTTTTACCCCATTTCACTAAAATTCACATCAGCATGCAGCTCTGCATGCTGATGTGAAATCATCTTACATTCATTAGTTAAACAAACATATTTCACTTACAATTACCGTTTTTCCACTTCCTGGTCCTCTTGAGCATTTGTGATGTAATCGTGCCCAAGAGTTGCATCCTGGGATGGTTACATCAGCAGAACATTGCTGGAAAATCTTATCTGTAATCACGAGATCTCAGGGAAAGGCATTTTCCTCCCCTGAGATGATGTGTATGGTTACATGTCCTAGTCACATGTGTCAGAGTTCCAGGAAGTAAAGGGAGATGGATTAATCTACCGTCAGTAAAAAATGGAGGCCATGAGAAGCATGGGGAGGAAAAGAAAAATAAGGTATACAAAGAATAAAAATGATCTACAAGTATCTGTTTGTAGATTGTCATTACCAAACATTTTTTAAGGTGTGTTTCTTGTCATTTCAAAGATATATTAAAGTTCCTCTTTAATGATAAACAAATATGTGAAAGGGGGACACCAACGCATTTCACCAAGGATGTCTATTTTGTGGTTTTGCAGTAACATGCAGAGCTGCTAAGTTGCCCAAGTCTATTAAATATTTTTTTTGAATTCACAGAGATCATCCCTCTGCTAAGGTGTCCATTAAGGACAATACATGAATAGTCAGGACAAGTGTAGATCCAATTGTTCATTCATTAGAATACAATTGATTGTACTGCTTATTTGTCTTAACAGAGTAAATTTAATTATTAGCCGCTTCTAGTCTACGGAAAATGGAACGCGACTGTTCCTCTTAGTAACTTTTAACATGTAAAAAGTAATTAGAAACCTAGACCAGTATATACACTGCCAATTCTATATACCTGCACTAAGCAGCATCAGGCTGAAATTCAATACTGAAGTCATATAGGTTTCTTGTGTGTCTCCCTCATGTTTCAGACGTGTGCTCACACTGCCAATAAAAGAGTGTGCAAATGTGAGCTGCAATTGATAGCTCAGTCTAGACTTTTCACAGTGGGCGGTTCAGCCCTCTCTTCATGTCATGACCCCCGTGTTTGAGTTATATAATATCAGGCATGAGTCTGTCCATTAAATTTTCTATGACAAAGAATAAGTAAAATAATGTCTCTAGATTACTATAAAACCTGCTGGAACCTTTTATGGAACTTGGTTGAAAATCTCCAGTAATAGTTTTATTTTCAGCTATTATCAAATGAAAATGCAAATGTGATTCCAGCTTAACAGCAAGATTCCATATTAACTTTCATACTTATCTCAGTTTCATTTTAGAAAATCGTTTTGCAGGAGATAAAAAAAACAAACATGCAAACTGCCAGATAGTAACTGGAAAATCTGCAATAATGGTCATACGTGCAGATAACACAATCTTATCCTGGCAAAAATCATGATGACATCATCTACCATCTAAGATTCATTGCATATTAGAAAAAATAAACTGCATAAAATGTATTTCACATTTCAATTGTCAATGACTGGCATTAAAATCACGCTCTAACATACCAACTGAACATAGTTTAGCTTGTTGTGTTTCAGCTCTTCCAGTGCCTGCAATGCATCTCCCTGTATTGGGAAAGCAACCCCTTGGAGAGTCTGTTGTTTTGTGTCTACTCCAATATCTGTTTGGATCTGAAATATTAGACATAACCGTACATGATTAGATGAAATAACCACAATCTAGGTACAGCAATAAAGCATCAGTTCCCCAGCCGAACATGAAGTTCTCCACTGTCAAATACATTTACATTACTGGACCATGCAATTTCTCTTTTATTAAATAGGCTGCTTTGAGTTATTTGCTCACGTCTGTGTTTTTACATTATTTCAACAGAGCCATTTTATGTCTGCTGTCTCTGGATACAGACTGTTCTTTGAGGATATTTCATATGTGGCCAGAAAACGTATGAACTTTAGAGGGTTTTCTGACAATCATTGTGGCCTTGATAAAAAAATTGACATGGAAGGAAGATTAATGAAAAAATGTCTTAAGGCTCATCTGTAAAATAGAAAAATTAGGGGAAAAAATATTAACTTGCACAGTGCAAATTTCTGTTTGTAAAAGTTCTATTTATTCAGACCAACATAATGTTAATAAAATGGGAAGGAATCCTAATAATACATTGTTGTGAGGACTCTACATGGTTTTAGGAAATTAAAAATATGTAATGGTTATAACCCAGAAAGTCTTACCTCCTTTATCTTTATTTGCCTTAGCTCTTCTTCTGATGCAGTAAGAGGGGCAGGAGCTGAACGGCAAACCAAGTACTTATTATACCCACTAAGGGAAACATCTTCCTGTTGAAAAATCAGCCATCAAAAAGCACATTCAATTAAAATTCTATAGAAAAAAAAAACAAAGCTGAAAAATTATAAGTTAACAGAATTGCTTGATAATGGAATATATTAGCACAATGGAAATATTTTAGGATGCATGATATTGTTTGCTTCGCGCAGAGGGATTCTTAGAAGAATTCCAATTAATAAAAAACAAAAAAACAAAGATAATTCCTTTAAACCATCGATACGATCCTTGACCAGCTGGTCACTAAGATTCTTTTAGATTACCTTCAATCAATCAGTGTGGTTAATTTACTGGAGGAACACATTTTTTTCCCTTCAGAAGCTACATTGACATCAGTCATCCAATCATGTACAAATAAATTTTCAATTAATTTCAACTCCTCTGCACATGATCAGGTTTTCATTTGGCTAAATAAATGTATTCCTTTTGTAAATCGTCATTCCTATGTGCAAGACTGACTGTAAGCAGATCTGCCATCCAGGCCCGAAATTTCAGTATGCAAAGTCTTTGTTGATCTCCCTGGATTTCCAGCCTGAACAATGGGTGGTGGTGCTGCACCTGGGCCTAGTTGAAAGGAAGCTGGCCTCCCATGTGGCAACAGAGTGGTTGATTTGTGTTACAAGAAATTTCCTGTCCAGTTCCAAGCTGACAACATGATGACAGCCACGGTAGCCAGTCATTTCCTTGCTTAGAGAAATCAGAGCTGTACATTTTTTTTTTTATGTGCAAATAGAAAATCCTTACTTACAAGGCAACATTTCAATAAGATAAATGGTGTTTAAAAAAAAAACAACAAAAAAACCACACACCATCAGGTATTAAAGGGCCAAATGCCCAAGAAATCATCGTTGTTTTTACACAAGCCATAATCAAGAGATTATCAAGTACAGATAGTTACAAATGCTAGAAGGTGGTCAGACACGGAGGCATGATTCAACTGCAGAAAGATCTTTTCACAAACATGCACAGCTTGGGTGAACGTAAATGTTTGTGCCTGTGGGTAAGGGGCGAGGAGCGTTCAACAACCATCCCTGCTGCAGGCCTATCTTATGGGGAACACTGCAATTTAACTTAGCTGACAGACTCTCTCCCCTCATAAAGGCTCCACAGTAAGGTCAGGGGATGCATGAAGGTATACCATTGTTTCCCAATAGGACCATAACCAATGGATGGGAAAATCTGAATCTATATTTGTATGGGCTTAAAGTTACACTAAACTCAAAAGTTCAATCTTAAAAATACATTCAAGTACCCCAACTAATAACACAATTAACAAAAATGTATCCTACTTGTGTATCGCTCAGCTGTAGATCCTCAAATCATCTCTGAATTGGGGCTGGCACTATCCTTCCTTCTTGAGGATGGCTACTTTTGTTACCCATGTGTTTAGTAAAGTAGTCACCTCTCCAAGCTCGCTCCCATCATAGACTATGGGGGTTATTCACTAAGCTGCCGAAGGCAGCCAAATGAATAGCTGAGCCGAAGTCTCTTTGGCTATTCACTGCAGCCGTGCACAACTATTTTGAGCCGTACATCAACTGCATTCATCCCCGCTTCACCTCCATCCAGCACAGCCGAACAGCCTCAGCACGTCGGCTGAACCGAAATGAAGAGCCTGTTTGCCTCAGCCAATGCAACATATGGATTAACTGAGGCGAACGTTCAGCGCTTCATTCCCTGCTGTTCACCCCTATTCTCAAAGAGGCCGAACAGCAGCAAGTGAATGACCGAATGCTTGGTACAGCAATCAGTCAACAAAACAAAAAGCGGCACAGGGTCCCCCTCCCAAATGTATGTATGTATGTATGTATGTATGTATGTATGTATGTATGTATGTATGTATGTATATATATATATA